ATATACAACTTTATACTATACATTGCAATGACAACAATTATTTGATCATATGTACGGCATGACAGGCTTGAAGCCATTTTTACCAACGTGGATTCGTAATGCTTCTCAAAAGAAATTGCCAAAATAACAATGTCTGTACATGATGTCCTATATCATCTGTCAGATCAAAGCTTAGCTCTATACCCACACACGTCCAACTCTGTATTTACAACTGTAGGTACGGTATAACTATTTGTTTTCCTTGATAAAACAAACTATGTTTGAATAAAATTTACGTAAAATAAATGTGTCACTTTTGTTTAGAGACGGACAGTATACTCCACATATGAAACTGGGTGAAATTTCAAGTTTTTTGTTCTCCTAAAAATAAATATCAGAGTATCAATTGATAATTATTTTCATTTTCATGTGCAATATACATTGTCATCAAAATAGCAGATATCATAATCATCAGTCATGAATCATCATCCTCAGCCTCAATTTTCAACTATTAACAAAATTAAGAATTATGGTTCATCAATTCGAGGGTCATTTGGAGACGTAAGAGATAAATTATATTATTGTTAAGTTATTGAAATGTATCCACGTGTTTGTTTTGTATTGCGCCATAATCAATATATTTTGTTTGTCGCAAATTTCAATATTGCAATTTCATTTACATTACAATATGAAGGTGTTGGTAACACCGACTTTAGGTTTTTGATAAGGTGAAGAGATACATGTATTACACATTATATTGTTTGTGCATGCCGGCTATTATTAAATATTAACACAAGTGTATTCAACATTTCAGTTCGAAGTTTTACTTTAAACAGAATGTCGGTATCAAACTTGTTGCAACATTTCAAGACCTACTGGTACCCTTGTCAAGTTAATTATGCGTATCAAATGTCAAGCTATGGCCAGAAACGTATATATTACAATAACGAATAATGTATACGTCTCTGCTACATGTATGACAAGGTAAAAATAAAACCTTGATGCAAAGATATTTCCAAACTGATAAATCTTTTTGAAGATACTACGTTTTAGAATATATTTTTCTTGAAATCAACAATTTAGGTATCTGAAGAATAACAGATAATGTGATAGTATATGTAACATTTGTAATATCACCCCTATGACGTCACACGACATAATTAAATTATTTTTGAACTTGAGACTTAAATATGGATGAACATTTTGATAATAAAATAAATTGCAAAGAAAAATTCCATGGTTTATTGAAAACGCGTATTGTACTATTGTGGAGCATACGATAAGGGGGTTCTTTTCTAATTTAAATCTGTATCCTAAACTCGTTCTACTTCTATGAAACGAGCCTCGTTATAGAAACTCGTGTGAGATCCTTCTTACAATGACAAGTTAACAAATATGATAATGATTACAACATATTTGGATATCATTATGTCTTATGGAATCGCTCCCACTCTATAAGTGGTTATGAAAATAAGGTTAATTCATCACAATAATGTGTTTCATGGTTCTTGTATGTAGGTAGATACGTATTAATTACAATATTGTAATACATACGTATCTGATAAAGGCACCGTGCAGGTTATAATTATCTGTACAGGGGTCAATAAATCTGCCGTGAGTATATAAAATCGCACGTGAACAAGAAAGTATAAAGAGTAGAATAGGGTAACCTATAAAGTTTTGCTTAATCATTTTTACTTTCATGTCAAGAAGAAATAAAAGATATAATCTAAATATTTTATATAACCAATAAACATTTCAACATCCGAATTCCAAAATACATAAACATGCTATTCGATATTATCTCGTATTAACCACCTATCCAGATTTGTAACTTAAACCAATAATTCTGAAGATAAACCCAATTAATGTGTAACCTATCTCCCACGGTTTAGTAATGGAGCGAAGTGTTGTTACTGGGATTTAGGCCAAATGACCAGTGGTCAGTGGTGGTCAACGGAGTTATTAGCCAAAGATAACGATAATCCATTTGACCACATAATCTGTGTATAAGAGGATGTGTTAATCTGACGGGATTTGTAATACTATGTAGTATGTATTCAAATGTTTACATGAAGCCAGCGACTATATTAATTTTCAGTCCACACGTTCACGTTTTGATTTTTGGTGTGGAACTATTACAAGAACAGGCAACAGTAGACTTGTAACTTCTGCCTTTCTATATACCGCCTCACGACCTCTTCATATTCTTTTTATTTTTCTTTGTCTCCATCTCAAATGCTTTTCTGAAAAGTGCTTAAGCGAAACGCTTCTTGTAAAAATAGAAATCAAATAATCAGTCAATCAATCAACCAATTTCATGTTTTATTGAACTGTCATGAATCACAATAAATATTTGAAAAATAGAAAATATATATGAGTAAACATGTTATCAACAGGTATGAGATTAGTAGGCACCAAGCCCGATTGAATATATCATCGTAAGTCAATCAGGAAAGTTCAATTATCATAGAAGATGACGTCAGCGGTTAAACCGGATGACGGTATGATCTTTGGACTTCCGATTCCTGTATCAGGATACAAACGTCTATATATACACGAAAAAGTAGCCACAGAGCTGTTGGAATAAGAGTGTTTATAATGTATTGCAAAGCTTTGATCAGTCAACTAAAACGAAAAAGATACCAAAATACATGATATCTTCAATAAGATTCATCAGTTTGGAAATATGTGATATCAAAGTTTTACATTTTACACAAACAATGTATACGTGTTAATCGTGTCGCAACGTTTCAAGACCGACTGGTCCCTTTGTCAAGCCGTGTTTAATAATGACGGCAAATAAGGATTAACAAGGTGACGTCATAAAGAAAGCTCTTTACGATATTTGGATTGGACAGACAGTTCGATAGTTCTTTCTTTTGATGTCAGAATCAGTGGAAGTAATTATATGTCTGGTACAATTAAGCGAGCTGATGGATCGGTTTTTATCACATAATATACGTATCCAGTGAATATATCCATGTCATATTCTTTGCGTATGAACCCATGTAATATGTCCTATCAGCCCTGTGATTGGTTGTAAGTTTCAATTGTGACGTCATCCCTAGGACAAGTACATGACTGGAGTCAAAATGGCGGCTTTTTACATCTTAAGGTAGCATGAATAATGTCCTTTTGCACGAATAAATGCCACAAATCTTGATTATGTGATAAAAAGGATCTTACACTCGTTTTCATTTCACATGAAATTTATGAAACTCGTTATGCATTTTTCATTTTAGCTCGCCAGACGCTCGCTAAATTGCAAAATTCTTAGACTCGTTTCATAAATCTCATATGAAATGGAAACTCATGTAAGATCCTTTATATATTTGAAAGTGATGTCATACGGTATTTTATAGATGTCACTACGTATCTGAAACCATTTCGAATCCATTCTGGTACAACGACGGAGTGACCTAGGACGTACGGTCCTTATCACGTGCTCTTGTGTCTGACCACACTGACCACCCGGCCATGTCATCGGGTTGTTGTGGCTATCGCGCAAACTAAATTCTTCAAGTACTTGCTCAAGTGCCCACAGATTGGCCGTTTGTCAGTCCGTAAGTCTGCCTCACGCAGACTGCGTAACTAGGCTCTTACAGTCAACACACGCTGAAATCCGGATATAATTGTTTTCGAAAAATATCCGGATTAACGTTTTTTTCGCGTTGCAAAAATGGAAGTCGTCACTGAATTTTAATCAACAGATATATTTGAACCGGAGTAACCAGGATAATCTGTTTGAGGAATTGCTGTGAGTCCTACAAAACGAGGGTTTACAGTATACAGGATCACATAAGTATAGAGTGGCGATGATCCGCTGTATAAAGGATTGTGGTATTCCGGAATAACGATATTCCATTATATACAGGGTAAGCTTAGTCCGGATTAAAGAGTACTATTTTATGACTTATTGTCGTCCGGAGTAAAGAGGTTCTATTTTATACCTAATTATCGTCCGGAGTGAGGAGGTTTTACCACTAGTAAGCGTGAATATATGAGTACGGAGTAATGAGGGTTAACAACAGACAGGATTATCTGAGTACGGAGTAAAGAAGTTTTATCATAGACGGGATAATCTGAGTACGGAGTAAAGAAGTTTTACCATAGACGGGATAATCTGAGTACGGAGTAAAGAAGTTTTACCATAGACGGGATTATCTGAGTCCGGAGTAACAAGGTTTTGCTGCATACAGGATTATCTGAGCCCGGGATAAAGAAGTTTTACCGTATACGGCATTATTTGAGTCCAGAGGAACTTTTTTTTACCGTTAATGGGATTATTTGAGTCCCCAGACACGAGGTTTTACCGTATAAACGATGAATTGAGTCCGGAATGACGAGATATTAACGTATACGGGACCAATTGATTCCGGAGTACAGAGATATTACTGTATACGGGATTATTTGAGTCTCGGAAAAACGAGTTTTTCCGGAATAGTGAGTTTATTCATGGTGTGCAGGATTATCATCCAGAGCAACAAGTTCCATTAATTGTATACAATATCGTTTAATTCCGGAGTAACGAGGTTTTACTGTATATATTGTCTGGGTCTAGAGTATAACGAGGTTCCTCTACTTTTATCCATTTAAACGTAAGGTGTGCGTGTTTTATGTGTTATAAAAAAAACCCACAAATGATGGACATGAATAACGTAAACCCAAATGAATGTCCACGAGATAGTTTAACGTAAATCTCAATGAAGTATATATATACTCATATAGCTAATAACTCGATGTGTATATTTATTAAATAAAACAAATCAGAGAATGCACATTGTGTAACAAACTACGCTTTCAAGGAATGGGTTAAATTTATGTCGACTTATCTATGTGGTGCAAAATTCCGAGAGGTGTCGGGTTCATCAATGTAACAATCCTTTTATATATTTTTAGTTCCATAACAATCTTGAATCGTACCCCGGCGTTATCTTTCAACTACTGAAATAGGTTTGCTTACTTTTAAGATACAGATGTACACGTACCTATACTTATCTCTTCTTTATCTCCCACAGAACCCAACAGGGAGGACAGTCCCGCACTGAATAGTCCCGCATTTACCGATGACGAGAGCATTTTGGATGAAGAGGAAAAAACCGGAAATGGTGACATAACATCCGATGAGCAACAGATTCAAAAGAAGACTGTTGCGCAGATCATGAGGGACAAGAAGAAACAGACGGCACTCACGCTAAAATGGTACGTACACTCTACCGTGTTCATTGATGAAATTCAACCTTATTTTACAGCGTTCTGCAAGGCCTTCGAAATCATAATATCAGGTTACAATGATTGATGTTTCATATTTAAAGATTTTTTTCTAGCAATAGGACATGTACAATGTAAGTTATAGACAGTGACACCATGATAGCCAGTATCGACATTTACACTTTTCACTTTGTCTCTATTTTATTGTAATTTTTCTTTGTTCATTTCCTTTATTGAACATCATCAAAGTTATATCTCCGGAAGTAAATGCCGTATGTTAGGATATAGTTTAAAACTAAGCACTTACTAATCAAAATAAATAAAACAATCAATAATTACTTACATAGGTGTTCATCAAAATTAATTAAATCGATAAACGAAACATTGAAGGATGAAATACTACTGAACACGAATGATGAGAGACTGGAAGGAATTATTCAGGTATATTTCTTATGGAGATATGTTTATGAGACATTACACCATAGACTTATATAATAAAGACAATGTGTTGGCATGCTAGTAGCCTGCTATCAACTGAAGGTACGTTTTGAACTCCTGTAGGCGAGCCGTATCGGTCCTGTAGTGGTTTTGTAATATAGCTAACGTAAACTTTAAAATCAATATATCAACACTCGACTCTTGTTTCACGTTTTTCATTATCGGCCGGGTCCAGCTGCGTGATTACTATCACTAGTCAAATATTCATAAAATACTTTACAAAGACTTTGATCAAAACCCACGAACTTTACGTATTAAATTCACACTGTGAAAGGCATGTTTACAAACACAGATCCCTTTTATTTATACAGGGGATAAAAATGGCACATAAATGAACAATAACATCACACAAATGTAATATTTAAATTTACATTATTGAAACACTTGAGGCGAGTCCTTACGACAACGGAAGTGGCAGGATGTGTATAAACTTGGCAGAACATACACGAACGCGGGATTCGAATTCCGGCTTTGACTGTTAGGGTCGCGGTCGTGTAAGCGAGCGAGAAGGGGTTCCCTTTGAGGGGTCATATTTCTCACTCTAAAGTCTACACAGCCATTCAAAAATCTTATTCGGCTCAACCTCATGCGGAGGTACTTTTTGTCATCAAAATCAAAACAATGATTTGATATTTGTTTTAAAGGACCCCTTTTGCTGTTGAAATCGATGAACTTTTCAACACGTCTGTCAGTCTATTTCTATTTGTTCTAACCTTGAATACAACAACAGCAACAACCAGAATAATGACAAGAACATCATCTGATTGCACGACGTTGGTTCAAGGTAGAAATATAAGTGGATGATGATGTTTAGACTGACGATTATTTTCATGTACAGTTAAATTCATGCACAATTAAATGTATATGAAGCATTAGAAGTGTTTAATCCTGTTGAAACGGATCAAGAAGTATTCCTATAAGCCTGACGGTGCGATAAAGATGGTCTGCGACCGGGTATTTCGTCAGAATTAAAAACACTTTACCCGAATCACAGAGGGAATATTCACCTCAAGTGTTGATTTTATCTACTAGGATAAGAACTAGAAACAAATCTGACTCTTAAATACCACGTTGTTGTATTTGATGTGTGGATCCCTGCTGTTAGTGCACTATGAGTGTATTGCATCCAGCCGTGATACCCTGGCGAAGCATGCGGCTCCAAGAGTTATCGAGCCTCGTTCTCGTTAAATTATGTGTCGCGACATGACTGTAAGATGTATAAATCTTATACGAAATATAATGACACCGCTAAATTAATACGTAGATAAATATAGTATGCTGTCTAAGCATACCTTCGATTTCCCATTTATAACACACCCGCTGTTAGATATAAAGAACCAGAACTAGATATCCGTACATAGGCGGGCGACATTTTGAAAACCTCAGACGCAGTTAGAATCGAACAGGTTGGCGCTCGCCGACTACACACCTGGTCGAGGGGCTCACGAGGTATCCTGCACGTGACCCCATTTACCTGTAGCTACATCTGGTACACTTGCGTAGCATTCTATACCGACTTTTTAAATTCATCATGCTGATTTTACCTACAAGTATCAATTGATATCAAGATTACATGTTTGGAAACAATTATATATTAAGTACATGTTTGTACGTTGGAGTGTTACGGTCTCCACCATCACCTGGTTTCCAACTGAATGAACGAGATTATTTTCGGTGTCTATAATAAAGGCCCATATATCATTCAAGGTAGTTGATTCAGGATAGATGCGTCCTGTTGAACAGGAAACTACTTTGTCCTTGCTTGTTGGCGCTGTGGTATATTTTGTCTTTGTGTGATGACGCTGTGCTTTTTTGTCCCCGGTGTGATGACGCTGTGTATTTTCGTCCCTGGGTATTGACGCTGTGTAGCTTTGTCCTTGTGTGTTGAATCTGTGGTATATTTTGTCCTTGTGTGTTGACGCTGTGTATTTTTGCCCATGTGTGCTGACGCTGTGGTATAGTTTGTCCTTGTGTGTTGACGCTGTGTACTTTTGTCCATGTGTGCTGACGCTGTGTACTTCTGTCCTTGTGTGTTGACGCCGTGTACTTTTGTCCTTGGGTATTGACGTTGTGTATATTTATCCTTGTGTGTTGAATCTGTGGTATATTTTGTCCATATCGTCTGTTGACTCCGTGGTGTATTTTTTTCTGTTCCTGTTTGAAAATTTTGTATATCCTCTCCGTTTGTGCTGACGATGTGTTAGTGTCACTGTTTTGACCACCCTATCCCCATTCCTCTCACCTCCCCAATGTTCTAACTACCATCGGGACCTAATGATAATGATTGTTTAGCCTATATATGTGACAAGACAGTAGATATACAAATACTGTTAATCAGCCATTTTGAAACTAGCAATACCACTTTGTGAGTTGGGTCTAGCTTATCGGCATCTTATCAATAAGTTGTTTTCAATCTGACTGAACTTGAACTGTCAGCATGAATTTTTGATAATATTATAAAAAGGGGATCCGTTAAGGACCTATGATGGTATTGTACGGCGTAACCTTTCATGTCGTGGTCAGCTATTCGAAGTGGCATTGAAGCTCGAAGGTCTGAAAAATTACTGCAAAGTCATAATCCTTACAATCATTGATCATATGTTGACCAACAGGGTTCGTTTATTTAAGATTATTCAGTACCAGAAACGTATATTCTCGCTTAAATATTTTTTTTTAATATCTTTAATGGTTTGAGATATAATGGTTTGAACTATTTTTCAGTTTAAACCTTTCTTGTTTCTCTCGTCACTGTATCTTCTTTCATAAAAATATTAAAAATTAGTACATTGATCTAATGTTACGTTTGCTTATTATTGGACAAATTTCCGACGGTCTGAAGCTATTTTCAATATAGACATTATTGTATTAGATAAATTGCACTCACAATCAAACATAAAACCGACCCTGTCCGTGATCTATTGTTGCCACGTTTGTACTTAATACAGTGGATTAATTCTTCAAATGGAGGGATGCATTCGCGGTAAATCGGTCATCACACTAGTGTATTCTTTGACTTCCTGTGGATAACATTTCTTTCTATCAATGATCCTAAATTATTTCCTTGAAAGATAACCTGATCCAATACCAAAATTCCTCTACAAATTTACACTCAGGGATCTATATTTTATTACTGTCGTCTGAATGGAAGGCGATGAGATATGTACTTTATATACAGCAAGGAGGAATCACGGCGCTAACTCCGCCCAAGGAGGATTTTGCGGACTTATATGCCTGTTTTATTAACGTTAATTTTGTTTGCATCAAGCGCCAGTGGGACCCCGACGATCCCCGGGCGATCAACATGCATGCTATCATGATGAGTCAGACGTAATAATGCTCCGCAGCGCCATATTTATCGTCGAATTCACCCAATAAATCTTTGCAAATTTAACAAATCCTTTTCTAAGGCAAAGAATTATTTTGTTTTCAATCACTAAATCATCTGTAACCTAAAGATTTGAAAAAATACTAGTATGCTTTGAAATGGTAATCCAGTTTGATATTGCATGCAGATGTATGAATAATAATTCCACGTAAATTCATATGGAATAGCAAGAGCAAACATTTTAGAAATCTTTTTAATATTAAGGTAAACCTTGTTGACCCGTTTTATTTATAACGGTCAGAATATTGCAGGAAGACCTAGATGAACAGAAGGACAAATTTAATATCAACATTTCTTTTGTTTGAATACGAAGATCAAACGATAAGATTGGAGGAACAACCTACTGTAATCAGGTACGGTAGGGAGGGCAGTAAAACACGGCACGGATTTAACAGGTTACATTACTGTTTACTAATCGGAGATTTGTATCTCGTATATTACTATGGATAAATGTGATTTATAATTTCTGTTTTTATCTGATATTATTATTGCTAATGTGATTTATTAATTTTCTTGTTTGCTTTTTTTGGAAGTGTAGTTTCAGTAGAAAAAATGTTTGGCATTTAAACGAAACGTTCTGCCAATTTTGACATTTTTATCCACCGTTTTTTATATAATTCAAAATGAGGTTTTATATTCATGTTACGTTAATACTGCCACCGGACGAAGGGTAATTCACGTAATACGTACTCCTTACTATGTATTTACCACAGTCCGAAACGTCCCCGTTCACGTTAGTGTGTAATCGGCTAGGCTATGCCTGTCAACTGATATAAGGTTATTTAGGGTTGTTTTGAATAAAGAAAGTGATAAACTGTTGATATCAAGGAGGTTTATTTTGAAATGCTTGATAATTTCAGCATGAAAAACATGTAAACAAAACAATCACGTGAAAATATTCACATCCTCGTGTACATATTGCTATGTGAACCTCCAACGTATGGAAGCTGCTATTTCGAGTTTTAAGTTAAAATAAAACCTTACATTTAATTATTAAAGAGATTCAGTATAAAGACTTAACTTAACAACAGTGTTATAAATGTTTCTCAAAAGAATTATATGAAAACCGATAGATTATTTGACGCCATTATGAAAGAAGAAATGTAGA